TAGGGTTTACGGGTTTGGGGTTTAGGATATAGGGTTCAGGGCTTAGTGAATTAGGGTGTATAGGGGTTTAGGGGCTTAGGGGTTTAGGGGTTCAAAGTCTAGGGGTTTGGGGCTTAGGGTATAGGGTTTAGGGCTTAGTGGTTTAGGGTTTACAGGGGTTCAGGGGTTTAGGGCCTAGGGGTGTAGGGGTTTGGGTTTTAGGGCTTAGGGGTTTAGGGGTTTAGGATTTAGGGGTTAGGGGTTTAAGGTCTAGGGCGTAGGGTGGTAATCCATATGAGTAGGGTTCAGGGCTTAGGGTTTTGAGGGTTGGTGTTAGGATGGTGTGAGGGTTTCTGGTTTCAGGGTTTCAGGGTTTAGCGTTAGGGGGTTTGGGGGTTTAGGGGTTTAGGGGTCTAGGGGTCTAGGGGTTTAGGGGTTTACGGTTTGGGGGTTTGGGGGTTTAGGGTTTCAGGGTTTAGGGCTTAAGGGTTTAGGGCTGCAGGGTTTAACGTTGCAGAGCTTCAGGAAATGAGGTATGTATGAAACGAGGTATGGATGATGTGATTAGTCTCAATGGTAACTCCTGTTTTAGGGTTTCGTTTTGTATGAAGATCCTAGCACGCCAATACTTGAGACAGGTTAGCTAAGAAAGAAACTCCAATGGTAAACTAGATCTATCACTTCATGGTTCTGGTGTGTAGGGGTTGGTGATGAGGCGTTGCGTGCTTTGATGTGGAACGTCGCTAGTGAGGATTACGGCTTACGGTTTCATGCTCAACTAAGGGGAACCTGGAATCCTGGCGCGGGCTTTTTGCTCTTCTGCGCTGCGTGAGATCGGTAGGCAACCTTCAGGCTGTCCCTAAACCCTAAACCCTAAAAAAAAAAACCATAAGGCTGTTGAGCGATAGTCGCAACGAGGGCATCTTTCAGGCTGGCGGACATGTGATTCACGGGTTTCGGGTTAAGGGGTTTAGGGTTTAGGGTTTAGGGGCTTAGGAAGCGTTAGGGGTTGCCTCTGTTGTTTCTGCAGACTTTGAGGGCCAAGGGCGTAAGGCTTTAGGCTGTAGATCTGACGGTTCTTGGGAAACCCTGAACGTCCAACCCTACTAGCAAGCCCTGGCTGCGCAAAGGGCAACCCAAAACCGTTTTCGGGTTTAGGGTTTAGGGCAACGCCAAACCCTAAACCTTAAACCTTAATTCCTGAGAGTACGCCTACGCCAGGCTCCTGTATTAGGGACCTGCTGTCCCAGATTACGGGCCTCCTCAGTTAGATTCAGTTTTCCGAAGCAGTGTACCTTTTCCGGATTCATAAACGAAGGGGTCATCTATATTCCAGTTTATGGGCACCCCTGGGTACAAACAAGACACACAAGTATGTACCTAGTAATCAGGACCTCTTTGCAATTGCTTGCCGAGATTTCCTGGATTCTGGGTGCAGAATTTGGGGTGATAAGTTCTGTACATAAAACGTGGCAACTTCCTCATTCGCAGGGTTTTGGGCTATCTGGGGGAAAATCTTGGGCTAATGAGTCCCTCATTCATTTCACGACTAGGGTAATGCGCTCAACGTGGGGCCTTGATAATAAATTCGAACAAGTTTTCTGTGCTTTTTGCAGTTTAAGTATTTGGCACATATGGGGATTGTAAAGGGGTGCTTTCACTAATCATCCCGATTCCTACCTCGATACGATACGGTAGACCCTGAGCGATAAACTGCTTTCGGCTTGGTCCTCAATGACCTTCGCCGCTGGTGAGCCCTAAACCCTAAACCCCAAACCCTGAAACCCTGAAACCCTAAACCCTAAACCCCCCTAAACCCTAAAACCCTAAACCCTAAACCCTAAAACCCTAAACCCTAAACCCTGAAGGCCCTGCCACATCGCCGTAATTCGGCTGCACAGCCGTGCGGCTGGTGAGACCCGGAGACTCCGAAACTTCTCCATTCAGGAATGTACCTTAAATCATGCTAGGCCTCCCACTACGTAGGATTGAAAGGGTCGTACTTAATTCGGTGTTATATAGAACTATAATCATATATAATTATATAACTATAAGTATCACTATATATATATATATATATATTATGACTCGAAGAAAGGATACTTCCGAGTTAAGGGGATTTAACGATTTGGGAGTCTCCGGGGGGAGTTGGGCCCAGTACTCTGGGGATTCTCGAGTGTTGGGGCCCCGAAGAACCATAGAAGCAACATCTGGACTAGGTTTATAGGGTTTAGGGGTTTTAGGGTTTTAAGGGTTTAGGGGTTTTAGGGTTTTAAGGGTTTAGGGTTTTAAGGGTTTAGGGTTTTTAGGGTTTAGGGTTTAGGGTTTAGGGCCTGAGGTGTAGGGTTTAGGAGTATCCCATGCAACCTCCATCCCATTAAGCCAAACAAGCAGGGGCCCTAAACCCTAAACCCTAAACCCTAAATCCTAAACCCTATGCAGGTGCTGATGTCCTGTTCGAGGCCCCAGGTTAAAATTGCTACGAAGGCCCTGGACCCTCATGCAAGACCTTGAAAGGGGTTTAGGGTTTAGGGATTAGGGTTTAGGGTTTATGCAATCTAGGGTTTAGGGATTAGGGTCTAGGGGTTAGGGTTTAGGGATTAGGGTGTAGGGTTTGGGGTTTAGGGTTTTGGGATTAGGGTTTAGGGCTCAGGGCTTGCCAGGCCTGAGGGACGGCACTTCTCTGATGATTCTGGAGTATCCTGTCAGGGAGGGGCTGTGGGGTACGGAAAGCAGGGTGCTCCGTGAGGCCAGGTTGTGTGTCCGTGCGTAGCTATGGGCACGTACTTGCATATGCAATGTTTCTGTGTGTGCTACTCATGCACATGTGTATGTACGTGTATATATATATATACATACATACATATGTATATGTATCTGCATATGTGTGTGTACATAACTATGTACATACATATGTGCACATGTACACACACACACATATATATATATATATACACATACATATGTACATACGTATTATGTGTGTATACATATACAGCTTTTGATGATAATGCATATGTACATATATAAATACACACACACATAGACACGTGTAAACAATTTTATATGAACACGCCATTGTGATCATGTTTGTGCATACGTAAACACATACATACACACGCACACAAATGTATGTCTCCCTCTCTCTTTTCCCTCTCCGTGCCTGTCTCCCGACTTAGAATGAAACCCAAGAGAGTTGAAGTAGCCATTCGGAAATCCTTGCATTTGCATGAACCACCCTCAGACTGTAAATGCAACCAACACCAGAGTTTCGGACCGAAATCACAAGGACGTGGGATCGAGACATCGTGGCAGTTGTAGCCTCTTATCGACAAGTTGGTGCTTCTGCTGCCACCACAGTCTTGGAGCTCCCGGGTGTGCTGAATTGACACAATTATACGAACTTTGAGGGTTTAGGGTTTAGGGTTTAGGATTGAAAAACTTCACCATAAGCCCCAGAAGTCACAACTTACCAGGATCGAACTGTCGGAACAGCAACGTGTATTTAGAACTTCTGGGGGCCGTCGCCTCAAAGACACTTCCGCTTCGGGGCGCGTCTGCCTCGTGCGGGCGGGCGCCTGAGACGAGTAGGCTTTTACTTGTGGGCCTTAAGCCTCTATTATGTTACGTACCCGTCTATACTATGAAGTCTACGGGCTGCGAGACCATTTAAAATCACGCTGTAACCTCTAAATCCCGACACTGACAGCGCCGGCTTCTTGTTGGTGAACTGACTTTCATCATCGAAGTCAGTTTCATGGGGATATATGGCAAATACCTAGTCTGCTTTCCCTACTATCGTAACTCATTACTAAGCGAAGCCTTACTGAAACCCACACCATGAGAACTTTCCCTACTATCGCAACTCATTACTGCGCTGTTGCAAACCTAAACTTATCACTAAGCGATTTTAAACCCTAAACCCTAAACCTAAACCTTAAACACTAAATCCTAAACCCTAAACCCTAAACCTACACCAAGAGCACTCATCGCCTTTGCGATGTGTCTGAAGAGATGCACATTTCTTGGGGTTCGGGTTCAGGGTTTAGGGTTTAGGGTTCAGGGTTTAGGGTTTAGGGTTTAGGGTTTAGGCCCCAAGCCCTAAATCCCGAAATCGTGGGTGTAAGCTACTCCCGACGACAACAACCTTAAACTACCAAACCCTATTTTTTGTAGGTCCTCTAATAATAACCTACTATGGAATTTTTAGGGACCCTACAAAAAAGTAGGTTTTGGTAGGTTAAGGTAGTAACCTATGATCGAACTCGAAGCCCTCCGCTGCCCTAAACCCAGAGTGCTAAACGCTCCCTGCTTGGAGGATCCGGGTAGGGTTTAGAGTTTAGGGTCTAGGATCAGGGTAGGGTTTAGGGCTTAGGTTCTAGGGGACTTAGAAAGTAGGGTTATAAGGAAGGCAACTGTAGGTACATCTGCTCTAACCATAATTAAGGCTCCGACTTTCTGTGTCACAAACCCTAGGGTTTTTTTTAGCCTATAGCCACAATTCCACTAGACCCAGCCCAAGACCCCTTAATCAAGCAACATACCTGCTATGGATCTGACTAAGGAGTTGTCTCTGGGTAATGCAGAACACTGAAATAGTATTAATATTCCTAGGGTTCCTTCATATAAACCACACCAAAGCCCTCTTTTAGCTATTGAGGCCCCCCCCCCCCCCATATTACATTAGGCCCGGTCCCTGAAGGCCGGCGAGGAGCAACTGCGCATTCTGTGTGCGCGTGGTCCGGGCGTGGCTGACGGACTCTCTGCGGATGACGGCTTCGAAAGCCAGGCGTGTATTTTCCTTGCTTGGAGGATCCTACCCTAACTAAACCCTGAGGCCCTTTAGGGATCCTTCAAGGGATTCTCTAGGGGTTCTGTGGTTATATGTAAGGTAACTTTTCTTATATCTACGTGTAGGGTACTTATAACCCTACTTAACCCTGAACTCTCAACCCGAAACCTACCCCATGGTCCTTTAAGGTTCGGTTACCCTGGTAAGGGTGAATTCTATGAGGGATCTATAAAGGGGTCTTTAAGGCTTCTTGAATTTAAGCGGATCTATAAGAGGTTGTATAACGTAGCTTTAAGGGCTCCGGAATCGGCACCCTTGCAAAATAAGTGTACCCCGGTTCCTGCTATTCAGTTTGCCTTGGGCACCAAAATCAAAGGTACTAAGGGTGCTACTGGGCGACCTAGAGTACATGGGGCTCGGTAGCTATACTTTCTGGTTGAAGGTGCTTTTTGCATGGTACTACTGTTCTGGAAGTCGGCCCCCAATACCACAATAAGGATGGTCTTTGGGACTTAAAGGAAACTACAGGTGTGGAGTTTAGGGCATATAGGGCTTCTATAAGGCTCTCATGAGGTATATAGACCTTCTATAAGGCTCCTATAAGGGTAACTATCCACCTGAAGATGTCCCAGACCTTTGTACTATAGCTGTAATAAGGAACCCTAAGGAGTAACATGGGTAATTGTCTAGGATTGTCTAGTAACTAGTATCTGCTGTAGGCTTCAGGGCCTTTAGAGGGCTCGTGGGCTAAGCTTGCGCAATCCGAACCAACCCAATACCCCATAATTAAGGAATATACCTTAAGTTATAGGGGCCTGGATATTCTGAATTAAAGTATATTCCTTAATGAAGGGGTAATTATTGGGTTCTCTGGGACGTCAAAGGACTACGATCGCCGAAGCATAAGTACCCAGACCCCCAAAAAGATCTAATCAATAGATCCCCTAGGGGGGTTCCTATAAAGTACCCTTTAGTAGTTAGGGTCCCTAATTAGGGGATCTATTTTTTAGATCCTTTTTAGGGGGTCTGGGTAGCAGGTCCTCAGACTGATCCGTTCCCAAAGCAGAACTAAACTCAAGCACACCCTGAAGCCCTCAACCCTGAAGCCCTAAACCCTAAAACCCTAAAACCCTGAAGCCCTAAACCCTAAACTCGAAACCCTAATCTCCAGAAGGCCTGACGAGCCCAAGGTGCGGATTCTTCGGAGTTGGGGTAGTGATGGGAGGACC